TAGAGATGAGGTCTTGCTGCCCAGGCGGGTCTCGAACCCGCGCGCTCAGGCAATCCACTCACCTCAGCTTCCCAGAGGCGTGGGATTACAGGCTGAGCCACAGAGCACGGCTATTATTTTTTTCTAATAAGAAGTCAATTTTTAAAACATGACTCCATGTTCTGATAGTGGAAGTTGTTTAGGAGAAAAATGTTCTGAGGAATAGCAGTTTCCCCTCAGTGCAGGAAAAATATTGGAGCAAGGAGATAATTTGAAACCAGAAGGAAATTAGAATTAAAGTAAGATAAATTTAGCCTAATTAAAATAAAGCATCCTTAATTAGGTTAAGGGGAAGACTAAGTGTTAAGTTAGAACAGACTTTGGTCTGAGAAAGAAAGGATTATTGATAGACAGTGAAGGATGACAGCTATAATTCAGAATAGTAACATAACAATGAACTCAAAAATGGAAAACAATAACCTGGTAATTAGATAGCATTTAATATTTTTATATATTTGATTATCTCTGAAAGTGAAAGGTATTGAACACATGTTTTTTTTATCAGCTTATTTATTTTGACTTCTTGCATTATTAATGTATTTATTCTTGTATTTCATGCTTTTGTTTATTTATCAGCAAGGAATGCCAGGCATAGTGTCAATCCTGGAAAAACAGATGATTTAGACACAGAACTTGACCTATGTCTCCCAGTGAATGAAAAAGACTGACAGATCACCAACCAAACATAATGAATGTGGTACATGAATGACAAATACTTGGTTACATTTGTTATCAAAAATCATTAGCATCTAATCATCAGTGTGAATCTTGACAGAAAGTTGAATCGACAGAGTGTCCATTTTCAGGAGGTACTGACAGTTCTGGAACCTCAAGGAAACAGTAAGAAGATGCATGTGGTTATTCCTAGTTAGAATGTGAAAATCTCAGTTGAGACATGTAACATTTAACATGTAACATTTTGGACCCTAGACCTAAGCTCAGTTCCTACTAGTACTAACCATAACCATATCCTTAACCTAGTCCTAACTGTAACACTAAACCTAAACTTAATCCAAACCATAACATTAGCCATAACTTAAACTCTAATCCTAACTTTAACCCTAATCCAAACATTAAACATAACTCTAGTTTCAATCCTAACCCTGACCCTATTCTCAACTTTAACCATAACCCGAAACCCATCTTAGCCATAACCTGAAACTTAATCCTAACCCTAACTTTAACCTTAACCATAACCACATTCTAACCTTAACACTAACCACATTCTAACCTTAACCCTAAACTTAATTGTAAATATAATCCCAATCCTAACACTGACACTACCCATAACCTTAACCCTACCCCCAACTCCAATCCTAACCCTAACCCTCACCTTAATCATAACCCTAATTCCAATACAAATCCTGATCAAAAACTCAACCAAACCCTAACCCAAATCATAGCCCTAACCCCAATCATAAAATTAACCTTAACCCCAATCTTAGCCCTAACCCTAACCCCAATTCTAACCTGAACCCTAGAGTTAATCCGAACCCTAATCCCTATCTCAACCCTAACCCTAACCTCGACATTAACCCTAGCTCTAACCCCAATCATAACCCTAACCCCAAAGCCTTGGACAGAGAACTGCCACAAGGATGGGCTACCACAGAAAGCCCACAGTAGGGCAATGGCCAGTGGAGCTGTGGGGAGGGGGCCTCCCCTATGATCCTAGAACTACAGAACCACTAACATGTGATTCTAGCCTGGGAGAACTGCAGGCATGAGACTCCAATCCTTGAGAGCTGCCCAGCGAAGCCATATTGGAAGGGTCACCTGGAGGCTTGGGGGCCCAACTCCCACCTCGGTGTGTCCACAAGGGTGGGACATGAAGTCAAAGAAGACTATTCTCAAGCCCAAGAGTTATAATTTACCTTTTTGGACTTTGGACTTACTTGGAATCTGTTGCTCCCTTCTTTTCCCTGCTTTTCCCTTTTGGGATGAGAACATCTGTCCTATACCTGTCCCACCCTTGTATTTTGGAAGCAATAACTTGCTTGATTTTCACAGCTGGAGAGCAATTTGCCTCAGGATAAATCAGGCCTTGCATTTCACCCACATTTGATTTAGATGATATCTAGACGAGACTCTCTGTTTTAGACATTTACATTGGTGCTGGAACAAATGAAGACTTCTGGGCTATTGGGATGGAATGAATATATTTGTGTGTAAGAAGGATGTGAATTTTGGGGGACCAGAGGTGGACTGCTATGATTTGAGTGTGTCCCTCCAAAACATTTGTGAAACTGAATCCCCAGTGCAATAGTATTAAGAGATGGGGCTGTTAGGAGGTAATTAGATCATGAAGACTCTACCTTCATGAGTGGGATTAGTTCCTTTATAAAAGAACTTGGAGTGAGTTCGTCCCCTTTCTGCTTCTTCTGCCATGTGAGGACACAGCATTATCCCCTTCAGAGAATGCAGCAACAAGGTGCCATCTTGGAAGTAGAGAGCCCATACCAGGCACCAACTCTGTGACTTCCCAGTCACCAGAATGGTAAGAAATAAATTTCTATTATTTGTAAATTACCTAGACTAAGGCATTTTTGTTATAGCAGCAGAAGTGAACTGAGACAGGTATGTTGTAAACACAACCAAATTTCCTGTCAGAGCAGGTGTGAGAAAGAGACCTCAAGGCCAAATTCAAGGAAAATACAACATGTGGGCACTGTATTTGACAGTCCCAGCTGAGTTCCAGTGGAAACCAGCATCAACTGCTAGCCATGGGAGTGTGCCATCTTGGATGTTAAACCCACCTGAGTCTTCAGATGACAGCAGCCTAGCTAACATCTAACCTCAACTGCATGAGACACTCTAAGTGAGAAGTGCCCAGCCAGGCTCTTCCTAAATTATTGTGCCACAAAATTATGATAAAAATAAAAAGCTACTCTAAGTTGCTAAGTGTTGGGATCATTTGTTACATAGCAATAGTAACTGGAATAGCCACCCTGCTGGGCCTTCCTATCAATTCTCTATGTGATTCAGAGTTCTAAATCTCTTGGAAGGGCATGGGCATGGGTGGCTGTCTTGTCTTTAAGCTTGAACCTTCACTCACATGAATGAGACCCTATGCAAAGTCCCACCAGGAAGGCAGAACCAAGGCATCATGGGAATGGTGGTTAGAATTAGTTGTGAAACATTGGGCAGTTTTTTGCTTCCCTAAACCTCAGTTTCTTTATCTGCAAAATGGGGATAATAATAATACTAAACTTAGGGAATTACTGTTGCTGTGTTTTCAAAATGCTAAGCAATGTCTAGCACACAGTGAGCATTCGAGAAATGTTAGTTGCTTTTTTGTTACTTCAGTTTGAAGTGCTTTCTGACCTCACCCCACTGGCCTCCCATGTTATATTCTTGGCTCCATCTGTTATCGGCCTTGACCCTTGCCTTCCCTAACAGTCTTTGACCTTGAGAGCCAGGCACCTGCCCTGAATTATGTCTGGGCTGGATGACTTTGCCCTTCCCTGTGTCTTGTTATGGTCTCAGGTTCCCAACATTAAACAACTCCATTACAAAGGGATGACGTTGTCATCACTAAGTGAGATCTTTGCTGACATCTACATCACTGGGATTATTCCAGCAGACCTTTCAGGCATGATTTTTGCCCTTTTAGACAATAGCTAACCATGGAGGCACTCTCCCAGTGATATGTAGTATGGGGAAATGACATTTTATTGTACCTAAGTCAAAACAAAAGGTATTTGTTGAGCCTCTATCATGTCACTGGATCTAGCAGAAGGGGCAATGGCTGAGTTTGAGTTGGGCAACTAGAGTGGGACAGATGGCTATTAAAACTGTTTGTCCACAAATTGAAGCTTACCCATGTTGATAACTGAACATTTTCCATACAGGCCAAAATATTGAGAGCCAGTGTTTATAGAATATTACATTACTTTTGCCCACAGATATCAGGGCAGCATCTGTGTCTGTCTTTAACCTTATTTTGAAACATCTTGCCAAGACAATATCTGGGAAATTACCATACCATTCATGTGTGCAGGTAGTTAAGTGGGAGAGTACAGCACGGCTGTTGCCAGCCTTCCTGGTTCTAGCTGTTAGGTCAGAGATGCCCAACTAACTACACAGCACGAGGCTGCTGAACCCTTGGTCTTGTCCTCACAGTGTGGGAGGCTATTCTTGTCCCCAATATTCTCATCTTGTTATTCAACAGCAGATTTGGGGAATGGCTTGGTTGTCATTCTTTTCTTCAGTTATGACTCCGAATAGCACAAGGTGAGTTAAAAATGGCTGCCAATACGTTGTCTTTCTCCACACCAGTAGGCAGAGCCCATTTTCCCTCCCCTGGAATCAGGACTGGCCTGTGACATTTATCCAGTCAAAGAGGCAGAGTGACATTTGCCCATTCCAAGTCTGACCTTTAAGAGGACTGGCCACTTCTGTTTCTTCTCTCTTGGAATGACTAATTTTGGGAGTTCTGAGTTACCTATAAGAAATCTAGCTGCCTTGCTGGGGCCATCACCTGTAGAGGAGAGGCCCTGGGACTACATGGAGAGGAGGGGAGGCTGTGGTATTTTAGTATCTTAGTTGAGCCTCCAGCCCCAGTTGCCTTCTGATTGCAACTACCTGAGGGACCCCAGCAAGACCTGCAGAAGAACTGTTCAGCTGAGCCCCATTAACCCACAAGATTGCAAGAGATAATAACATGGTTGTTTTTTATCAAGCCACTCAATTTGTTCCACAGCAGTAGTTGAACAAAACAATGGAGGAGTCAGGAATTGTAACTGGGGGGAGGAGTTCACTTTTTCTGGGAACCCAAAAGTCACTAATCAGCTAAAGAAATAACACCAAGGAAGAAATTCTGCTGGGCCTTTCTAGAGGGCTTGGCCTCTCAATGTGGAACAGTCCGGAGTCCTCCTCTTCTTTGCATCTTTGGAAGAGACGGTTTTAGGTGTCAGTGAAATGGGCGTTTCTGGGACTGTTGGAAGTTTCCTAAGAACAATGTGCATGTGTTGTCACTGTAGTGACACTTTTAGGGTGTCTTCTCTGATCCCTACTAGGGGGTGCCTAGTAGACATGCTATTAGAAGTGGTCATCACAATATATCCAAATAGATTTCTCTCAAATCCTGTTGCATCTTTTTCTTGGGCAAGCTGGAGAGATTTCCAAGCCAAAGCAATAGGAAGGAAGAAGCATTTATAAACTCGGGACATCTGAGCACACACACTCTCGTGCAGCACTCCTTTCTTCTTGTGAATGCCCTCAGTCACTGGAGAAAGTAATACATCCACTTCAAAATGTCTCACATATCAGAAAACGTGGAGGCACTGTTTTCATGTTGATGCTTAATGAGCCCACACAAAGACAGAGCCGGTTTTAAGCAGGCTGGCTCCTCTGTTTTCCCCATCAATTCTGCTTCAAAGGCTTGCTTTAGAGAACATAGTGTTCTTTGAGGACCTTCAGAAGGGAAAGGCTCCATTGTTTCATCTCTGGATAGCCTTTGTATGTAATTGGACCAATAATGCACAGTGCAGCTTTTTGCAGGGGTGGGGGGAGGGGACCAGATGGGTGAAGAAGAGCAATACCACATCCCCAATGAAATGACTACAGGATACAGGGCAGTGGGTCGCCAGAACCTTGGCAGAGCCAAGGATATGAGTAGTTGGAGAAATGCCAATTCATCAAACCCATTGGTTTGCATATCACTAACTACAGAAAACAAGGCTCTTCTAAATCTGTCTGGCAGGCATACTGGATAGAATAATGTGTAGGGGTGTCTGTAATAAAAGGTTGTCACAGGCTGCTTTACAAGAGTTCACTCTAGAAGCTGTAGTAAAGTCAAATTTTCCTAAACTCCAATCCTGTTACCAAAGAGCAGCTTTATGGATCTAGGGTCATGCTGTCTAACAGGACTTTTTGTGATGATGGAAATGGAATTGAATTACGGCAGTCACTGGCCCCATGTGGCTATCAAGAACTTGAAATGAAGCTGGTGTAATCGAGGAATTGGATTTAACATTTTATCTAGCTTTAACCAATTTAAATTTTAATAGCCGTATATGGCTAGTGGCTTCTACACTGGACGGTGTGTGTCTAGAAAAGTCCATGATAGATAGCAACAGGTTTAGAGGACATTTTAAGGTAAGGTGTAAGCAGTGGCCCAATAAGAAATTATGGTTGAGTGACAGGCAACTTTCATTTGTTTGTCTGTTTAGCTTTTTTAAAATTTAACAAATATTCGTTAAGAGCAACCTGAAGCTTGGGGACTACTGATGCGGAGAAAGGCGAGAGTTTGGTCACAGTGCAGTGTGGTTCTTAGGCGTGGGATGTGGCTATTCTGCCTCTGATTAGTATCTCTAAGACAGTGAATCTTATAGGTTTCTGAGCCATGCAAAGACACCCTTGCTTCCAAACGAGGGAAAGGCTTCGAAATACTCACCATCGTCCATAATTCCAATGGTAACACCTTTCCCGGTGTATCCCAGCTCCCAGGCTTCAGCCACATTCAGATCAAGGCCAGGAGTGCCATCAGCTTGCCCGGTATTGATCTGGTGCAGGAATTCCAAAGCAGAGAATTGCATTAGCTTGGTGTTGTAAAGCACTCATGGAAATGTTTGCTTGACTTGCTCTGTACTCAAAGGCCATATTGTCCATGAATCAGTACTTTTGGGTGACACCCCCCACCTCCAATCCACCTCTTACAGCCTCTCCTCTCTTTTTTGATATAAATGAATGATCAATGTTTTCTGTAAACATGCAAACTTAGTTTCAATCCCCCATCTCTAATAACTAGATTGCTATCTTTAAACTCTTTCTATAAAAAAACCTTAGTGCTGCCATTATAAGAAACCCTCCTTGACTTAGAATGAAATGCTTTCTTATGTAGCTCTGAGTCTGCATTTTACATTTTAAATTTAGCACACATTGTCTTGGATTACTTTTCTATTTGAAAAATAATTTCCTCACTAAGTAGCAACATCCTTTGTAAGAGGGAGCATGTCCTAGTTGCCTTTGTAATTTTGGTACCACCACATTGAATCTTGCTCAAAATTATTTGTTGAACTAAATTAAAGATGGCTCATCTTTAGTGCAGAAAAATAAAACCTAAAAGCTCCTCCTGAAAAAATTAAAAAAGAAAGGAAGACAAAGCAATAATTCAAATTAGAGTGCTCACTCTCATGGTTTTAGGCGTTTTTGTCCCGTGCAGATATTCTCAAGGATAGATTGTAAAAAACTAGTGAAGTCAGAGCTTTTATTGGCAAAAGTCTATGGTGAACAGTGACTTTATGGTACTGCTAAAACATTGTGTGAATGTGGTTAGGGCTCTTTACAGAAATTACTGCTGTCTTCCTTTTGGAAACATGTTAAGGATACCCCTCTCCACCTCCCCTGAAGTTAGAATGGCCACATGACTAGTGTTGTCCAATGGCATGTGATCTCATGTGCCAGACAAAAACTTTAAGAGCTTCTTTTATACATTCTGCAATTTGCTTTTTTTCCTTGTTGACGGGCTAATGAAAACAGTGTTGGGTGGCGCTCAGATGAACTTGGTCAGCCTAAGTCTCTGTCTGAGGGGTTATGAAGTATTGGTTGTGTAGAAAGCATGAGAAACAAGCTTTTAGTTTTGATAACCTACTGTGATTTGAGGCTTGTTTGTTACTGCAGCAAACCTAGCGTATCCTGACTAGCACACATAAGCTCATTCAATTACCCAGATGAATTTTCAGACTTCCATGCCAAAAAGTATAAGGCGTAGTCAAGCCCTGCAGCCCCAGGAAGGACAGAGTGATAGATTCCTAGAAGGTAGCCATCCACAGGGCTGCTGTTTGGTTTTCTCTCTTGATCCTCAATTTTTAATCTTAAATATAATAAAGATTCATTCACATTTATGAATTTGTGACTCTCTTTCTCTCAGTATGCCCTGCACTTTATGCTCGTGTGGGGGTCACCAATTCCTTTTAAACGTGGTTTGACCAATCCAAACAGATCACGATGGCCTCTTAGTGAGCCAGAAAACACTCACTTCACCAGACAGACTGGGTTTCAGTGCCTGAAAGCCTGCATTAATTAGCCTCATGGAATTGATTTCCTGCTATCGTTTAGGAAGCACTAATAGAAGCTACTTTGGTCGCTAAGCACCCGGGCTTGCCCCTGGAGAAGTCACTGGATTCTTTCTCTAGGTCTGTGACTTCATTATGTCCTCCCATTACTCTGTCTGTTGAGACCCCTGAATTACTTCTCCTAGACCTTTAATTTGACTTTTACACAGTTTTGCAAATCTTCGGTCATACACTGGTACACTTTTTCAGAGTCTAGGAGAATTTGATCAGTTGTTGGTAGTGGCCTTGGTCCTAGGAGACGTTGTTACTTAGCAGTTCCAGAAGAAAGCAGATTAGGAAGCCAGATGCACAGGTGGTGATAGAAAATCAATACATATCAAAGGGGCCAGAGAAGTTCATTGAGTCGGATGCTGGCTCACATCCCACTGAATAATGAGGAAATCGAAATACATCTCCAACCCAGATGAGAAACATTGGAAAGAAACTCACCAGATACCACTGCTTTGTAAAAAGAGGGTCATTCATGTTAATGTCGATCTCGTTGATGTCTCTGTACCCTCGCTTTTTTCGGTCAAATCCCTCTTGCTGTGTGGCCATTTTTACCTGGAATGACAATACTGGCACATTAACTGAGTATCAACCTGAACATTCCTTTTCTGGAATTCTTTTTTTTATTTTTTGAGTCAGGGTCTCGCTCTTTTGCCCAGGCTGGAGTGCAGTGGCATGATCATAACTCACGTTAGCCTTGACTGCCTAGGCTCAGGCAATCTTTCTGCCTTAGCCCCCTAAGTAGCTAGCACTATAGCCATGCACTACCAAGACTGGCTGGTTTTTTTACTTTTTTGTAGAGATGAGGTCTTGCTATGTTGCCTAGGCTGGTCTCAAACTCCTAGGCCCAAGCAATCTTCCTGCCTTGGCCTCCCAAAGTGCCTGGATGACAGGTGTGAGCCACCATTCCTAGCCTGGAATTCATTTTTAAGAATCCAAATTTCATTTGTACATAATGTGTTTTTTTCTCTCTCTTAGCAAAAGCATGTTCATCTCATATACATGCTCACTTTATGGTTATTTTCCAAGAACATTTACTTATAGTTGCACCAAACAAAAAGGCCTTGGTGATGGTTCAAAGATAATTTCCTTAAAATAAGACTAGATGTAAAAGAGTATTCTCAAAGAAGATAAAGTGGTAGGGGAGGTTAAGCGAAAGAAAATAAAACAGTGGAATATTTTCATTAGGGCGAGGAGGTGGATGTGGATTCAAGAAAGGAGAGGGTGAAAACAGCATGGATCATTTTTCTGGAGGGCTTCTCAGCCTTTAATGTGTTAACCATACCATGCTATTATATTTGGAAATCAACAAACAAACAAACAAACAAACACAAACTGCTAAAACAAAACAAAACAAAACAATAAAGCCTGCCTGGAGAATCAGCAAGTTCTATAGCAATTCCCCAGAAGGTAAGAGAGGAACCTTTGAAAAGAAATTGATGGATGGTGCTGCTGTCCGTGCATTAACAACATTTCATTTTTGGACAGTTAGAATTTCTTGGATGGAAATGAAACTTATAAGCTGAGTCAGTTCAAGCAGGCTCCTGGGAATGCCTAGGCTTTGACCAAATTAGAAAACTTTCTTGCACTTGGACAATAACTAATTTATCATCCAATAAACTCTACAAACTCAAGGACTATGTACAGGCATAAACCTCTAGGACTATGCATATGCATAAAAGGATGTGTGTTGGATATTGATATTATTTTTATTATATGCTATGGCTCAATATTTATTCTTCCTCTTCCCAAATCTCCGCAGTGCAGTTGTTAGTTTACCTCTAGTCCACGGGGTTCTGTATCAAAGGGAAAATTCTAGGTCCCTGTCTGCTGTAAGCATTAAAGTCTCCTTCTGCCTCCATGGGCATCTCTCTCCCAGGATTGGAATCTTGAGAAGGTGACACATGGGCATGAAACTCTTGGAGCCTGTTTATCCCAGAGGTCCACTCAATGACTAGCCCAGTAAATGATCCTACCTGTAGTTCCTGCAGCCCAGTCCTGGTCCTCTCCAAGACTGAGCACTGAGCCTCCCAATGACTGTGAGCCCTGGATATCTTTCCCACAACTTCTCCTCTGCTGAAGTGATGCAGAATCAATTTCTGTTGCTTGTAATCAAGAACCCTAGTGGATGTGGGATGAGACAGTGCAGAGTCAAAGTCAAGAGTGATGGCAAGAAGGGAAGAATGAAGAGATCACAGACATGGCCGAAAACCCTTTCCCCTCCTTTCCCTTCTACCACTTGTGGGAGGCTAGTTCATCACCAAGGAAGCTCTGCACCCTGGAATTCACTTGCTAGAGAAATTCTAACTCTACCAGAAAATCTGTCTATGTGCAAAAGAAGTATTAGGTGTGACTTTGGCACTGTGAAGTCTTTGGAGTATTCCAGCCAGAGACAGTTCTGTGGCAAGCTTAAAAATTCCCCCCAAGGAAGCAGCAAAATAATCAGAAAAATGGGGCAGATGGGCATTTTTATAATGGCAGAAATTTGGACACAACTAGCATCCATCAAATAAAGATAAATTATGATTCAAATATGCATTTGCACATTTATATATATGTACAAGGGGGTTCCAAAACCCCCAGAATTTATTTATAAGAAATTGTGTATTCTTACATGTTTAAATTTCAGTCATCTTCAAAGTACTCTCCATTTGATGCAATATGAGTTTTGAGAAGGTTGCATCACAATTTGTGGAAGAAACGTCCTGAGTTGTGGCAAACAGGTGGTTGGTTCTTCCACTATGACAGCACACCTGGCCATATTGCACTAGTATTGAGCAGCTTTTGACCCAAATCTGCATGACCCCCATGCCCTACCCTCCCAATTCACCCAATCTTGCCCCAAGTGACTTATTTTTTGTTTCCCCTGATGAAAAAAGTCCTGAAAGGAAATGTTCGGCTGATGTGGAAGAGGTGAAATAAAAAATGGTAGAAGCACCAAAGACATAAAAACTGACAAGTTCAAAAACTGTACTGAGTAGTGGAAAAAGCGTCTCGCTAGGTGTATTGCATCCAACAAAGAGAACTTTGAAGGTGACTGGAGTTTAAACATGTAAGAATAAATACACAATATTTTATAAATGATTCCCATTTTGGGAGGTTCTCCCCATATGTGTGTATATAAATACATATGTGTATGTTTGTGCACACATATATTTCTTCTCAGAAGCAGTTGCCAAGATGGGATGAAATGTGCAAGGATTTTATTAGGAGAGAAAATGCAAGAAAGTGATGAGAATCTGAACCCAAGTAAAGAAGGGAGTGAACAAAGTTGGGCAAATGCATCCTCAACTGACCCCGCAATCCATGGAAGGTTTGTAAGGCTGCTGGGAACCTAAGCTGAAGAGCCCTATGACTCCCAGGGATGGGCCTGCCTCAGTACTCCTCCCTTCTCAGTCACTGGGGAAAGCGTGGCCCTCTTACTATACAGGGATGGATTTCAGAGTGTGGCAGCTGGATCAATTCTTCTCCTTGAAGTCAGACATCTGTGTGCCATATTCTCATAGGTGTATGTGCATGTGTTCATTAGTGTAGAACATTTAAAATGTTGAAGTAAATGTATAGCTCTTAACCTGGATAGCTGGCCACGACATACCCCTCTTGAAACTCTCTTTTACTATGGAAGCAGGTATTCAAAAACAAGAATGTCACTTGAGCTTGGGAAAGAAGGAGTCTGAATTCAGCCACTGCCTCTTTCCCAGTTTGTTCCCACAAGGAGGCATTTATCTGGTCTACTCACTAAGGGAGGGCTTGACTGACTTTCACCAAAGGATTCCCATAATTTCTGCTTCCATAGTAAAAGAGGGTTTCAAGAGGGATGTGTCAAGATCAGCTATCCTGTCATTGTCATAGATAACTTCCTTGAGATAACTATAATGCCTTTCCTTGAGAGGGTCTTTGGTAAACAACAGCAATTATCATGTGGAAGTTTGAAAACCCTCATCTATACATTGTCTCCCAGTAGCATAAGAGCAAAAAAGACATACATCAGATTTTACCTTTTAAAATAACAGTGAAAGAATGGCTATTGCTATCACTCCCAACTCAATTAAACCAAGTGCACTCTAATGAAAAGACTGCTCAAATTCATTTTCGTAAAATTAATTTTTAATTCCATAAATTAGGTTTTAATGGAAACTAGTGATGCTTGGGAATGCTGTACTCTCTGAGCACGATGTCTCCTTGCAACTCAGGAACTTAGGAATCCTGAGACAGGAGTAGGCTTTCTGAGTCTATTAGTTTATCCTCTAGTCCTCGATGAAGAGCCCAGTTACACTTTAGGAGAGACGAACACCTTTAAAAATATCTATTTTCACTTGTTACACACATATAACTGGTAAACTGTTTTTCACAATGATACCATGTAACACCATGAATCATTTTTCTGGGTTCTCATTCAATCCTCATTCATACCTAGTTTTTATATAATAGTAATCATACTATAGGTAAGATTGTGTATTCTGTCTTCACTGAGTATCCTACTATAATAATTTTTTTTTGAGTTGGAGTCTTACTCTGTTGCCCAGACTGGAGTGCAGTGGTATGCTCCCAGCCACCACAGCCTCAATCTGCTGGGATCCAGCGATCCTTCTGCCTCAGCCTTCCAAGTAGCTGGAACTGCAGGCGTGCACTACTCTCCCCGACTAATTTTTGATTTATTGTAGAGATGACGTCTTGCCAAGTTGCCAAGGTGGGTCTTGAAACCATGGGCTCAGGCCTTCCACTCACCTTGGCCTCCCAAATTGCTGGAATTACAGGCTGAGCCATCAAGCCTGGCCCTACCATAATAATTTTAACATGCTTCTGCTTAGCTATCAAATTTTAATTTCTAATGGCTACCTAAATATTCCAGAGTCATGTACCATCATTTACTCAACTATTTCCCTCTTATTGGTCATTTAGACTGTGTTCATTATAAATAAAATTACCATGACCAGAGAGATGAGGTTATAAACTATTTGAAAAGACCTCTGGGAAAGATTGCAGTGTAACAATGCCATGCATGACAAAGCCCTTCATGTCAGAGAAATATTTTCTTGTATCTAAACTGTATTTTTTACATTATAACTAAAAGGTCACTAACTTATTTTCTCTTCCTCCTTCTTTGAATGTTAACCTTCCACACACAATACCTTTTATTACCATTTAGATGTGATACCAATGACATACATGCAACTTAATTGCTCCCCATCTTAAAAAAATAATGCATAATTTTCATATTTATTTTTAGAAGCCTTCCCTGAGTAGAACATTTGACCTAAACATTTTTACAAATAACAATGTATAAGAAGGATGTGTTTGTTACTATTATTTTATTCAAAAACGAACAGGTGACTATTCCACAATTCTAGTCCAACATTTGAACCTTAGTTTGACATATACCAGTTACGGACCATACCAAGATAAAAAGAAAACCATCCATGCATATTTGCACATTATTTTTACAGTTAACAAGGTACATGTGACCTTCCCAACAACATTGTGGGTGGGTATTGTTAGAGTTGAGGAAATGAAGGTTTGGAAGACATTGTCCAACAGTCAAAACATGGCGGAGT